AGAGAGAGAGAGAGAGAGAGAGAGAGAGAGAGAGAACATCACCACGGTTACTACTACTACGGATACTACCCTGTATACCTGAATACTTTATACCCACACCGCCGTTGTTTGCCATCTCCTGCTCTGCTTGCGTTGGTTTTTCCTCTCCTCCTCTTGCGTTGGAATTTTTGTTCCCCTCCAGCGCATTATTTTTTCTCTTCCGCGCATTATTTTACCTATATTTATTATTCGTCGGATCTGAATATTTCATCCTCCGTTAGTTTGGCGCTCCTTCGCAAGCGGTTGCGTTAGAATTTTTTCCTCTCCCCACTTGCGCTGGAATTTTTTTCTATCCCCCAGTTCCGTTGGAATTTTTCCCTTCCCGCGTTCGTTAGAATTTTTCCCCTCCCCGCGTTCGTTAGAATTTTCCCTCTCCCCGCTTTACCCCCGCCCCCTCTTCCACGCACAATTTTTCTCCGTGTCCAGTTCTACCCGATATTGTGGTTTGATCGAATATGCAATCAATCACTCGGACGTGCACCACGCGAGCGCGCGCGCTTGACTCCGCTATCTCCCCTGAGTAATCAGTCAGCGTACGTATATATTTATATTTACTCGCCGCCATTGATCGATGCGCATCTGCTGCGAATGCCGGCAAGCGAGATAGCAATTGTCCGCCTGTTATGATGATTTGTTAAGGGATGGAGTTGTAAATTATATAGTTAGGGTTAGAATTATTCGGGGGCGATTTATTAGAGATAGATTCGTCGGCTATTGTGGTTAGGGTTAGGGTCGGTGTTATAATCAGTGTTGAGTGTGGAGTTAGGGAACGGGTTATGGGGTTACGTTTAGGATTTGGCTTGCAGTTTTGGGATTAGGAGTGGAATCATGGTTAGGGTTAGGGTTATCCTATATTGTTAGCGCTAGGATTAGCGTTGTTTTTAGTGTTAGTCCTATCGTCAGGGATAGACATAGCGTTAGGGTTTAGGGTTATGGTTAATTCATTTTTGCAATTGGTTGGCGGTATGGGATACCCTTCCATTTTGAGGTTTCCTAGCCAGGTTATAAACACTTCTATAGTCTATAGACTAGAAGCCCTTCAGTGGGTAGGGGGAAGTGTAATAACTTTTCAACGGTCAGAGAAAAACGGAAATCTTGTCTTAAAGGGTCAAAGGTAGGAGTAAAGAGACGACTTACCTGACAAGTCGATGAGCACATCTCCTAGGAACTGGATGTCCCTGGAGGGCGGACCACGGAACTACACCAGAGCTAAACTAGGAGATTTATTGGAGCTTCACTAGGCTACACCAGGGCCGTACTAAGACAGACATTGGGGAGGGCAGACGACTTACATGACAATTCGATGAGCACATCCCCCAGGAACTCGCTCTGTCCGCGATTCCTTATGGATGTCCTTGGAGGGCGGACCTCGGAGCCACACCGCAGTATGCCACAACAAGGTCTGACTAGGAGCCTGACTAGGAGCATCACTGGGGGGAGGGGAGGAGGGGGAGACGGCTTACCTGACAACTCGATGAGCACCTCCCCCAGGAACTCGCTCTGTCCGCTCTTCATGCGGTTCCAGACGCTGAATTCGGCGCGGCGGCGATGCAGCTCGGAGCGCGGCAGGTTCTCGTACATGATCGTCTCGTTCCACACGGGGTTGCGCGAGTTGAGGATGTGCTTAGTACGCCACTTGTTCTCGACACTGCAAGTAGGGAGTAGAGACCGGTGAGGGTCACGACGTAGGAGGAAAGTAGTGAGAGAGGAAGTAGTGAGAGTTAAGCAGGGACGCTCGCGTGGTAGAGTGTTGCGGAAGGGGAGACAGGTAGTGAGATTCTCAGGGAAATATCTGCAGGAAAGCGAGTAAAAAAAGAGTAGGTAGTAGGGAGAAAGTACGAGAGAGTAAGTAAGAAGGTAAGAAGAGTGTCGCAGAAGAGGAGAGAGGTCGTGAGAGTGTCAAGCAAGTATGCAGGGAAGCAGGTAAAATGAGAGGTAAAAAGAAAAGCAGGTAAAAAGAAAAGTAGGTAAGCAGGAAAGTAGGTAAGCAGGAAAGTAGGTAAGCAGGAAAGTAGGTAAGCAGGAAAGTAGGTAAGCATGAAAGTAGGTAAGAAAGGGAGCCGGTAAGAGAGGGAGCAGGTAAGAAAGGAAGCAGGTAAGAAAGAAAACAGGTAAGAAAGGAAGCAGGTAAGAAAGGAAATGGGTAAGAAAGGAAGCAGGTAAGCAGGAAGGTAGGTAAGAAAGGAAGCGGGGAAACATACAAGCAGGCAAGCAGAAAAGCAGTGTTGCGGACGAGAAGAAAGAACACACACACACACTCACCTCGGAACCGACCGTGTCAGCCGTCTCTTTCGGGGGATCGTCAAGACTGGGAAATTTTCCCTCGTAGTATTTCTGCAGCAGCTGGAGGGCACGGCTGCCGTAGCCCATCTTAAAGTCAACAAAATTACACAGGTTTACTTCAAAACAACGAATATTTGCGTGGTATAATACGAACTTCAATTGCTGTGAAAATATTGCTGTGAAATTCGGTGTGTTATATAAGTAATTCTCTACGGACGTAGCTTTATGTATCTAGTAACCACTAGTAACAGCAGCACGTGTATTTGTTAAACTCAGGTTACAGGTAAGTTTTCAGGAGAACACCTGCAGGTAGAACAGGTTTTAAAGATCACTTACTCCCTGGTAGTCGGGGTGCGTTGCTATGCGGACAACCCTGCCTCCGGCCAAACCCGGAAACTCAGGATCTTGAAACTGCAAAATCAGATAATCAGAAAATCAGAAAACTGCAACAGCTAATTACAATGGACTCTCGGAATAAGTTCATCGGAGTTCATGGCAATATCAGAGAAATTTTCGCGCACGCACGCACGCACGCACGCACGCACACACAATATAATAATAATAAACGTATAATGTAATGTAATATAAGGGGTTCGTGGGGGTAAGCTGGGAAGCTAAACAGCACACCTGTTGACTGATGTAATATAAGGGGTGCGTGAGGGTGTGCTGGGAAGCTGAACAGCACACCTGTTGGCTGATGTAATATAAAGTGGTTCGTGGGTTAAGCTGGGAAGCTAAACAGCACACCTGTTGACTGATGTAATATAAGGGGTGCGTGGGGGTGTGCTGGGAAGCTGAACAGCACACCTGTTGGCTGATGTAATATAAAGTGGTTCGTGGGTTAAGCTGGAAAGCTAAACAGCACACCTGTTAACTGATGTAATATAAGGGGGTTCGTGGGGTAAGCTGGGAAGCTAAACAGCACACCTGTTGGCTGATGGTCCAGGGTATGAGATCCCCAGCAGCTCTCTTGCCTCTCGCCGAGTTCTCAATCACTGACGCCTTCAAGATTTCGCCTTCAAGGCTAACCTGCGAGAATGAGAGAGAGAGAGAGACACAGGGTTGAGAAAGGTATAATGTCTTACAGGAAGATGCGAGATGGTTATGGCATATGATGATCCATGTCATAAAATTCGTCGGCTGTCTCATAATTTTGATTTTGATTTTTCCATTTTCAGAGGATTGGACGTTCTCTTGTTGTAATGATACATAATTCGGAGGGTATATAACTACTGTGGCAGAGAACAAACATCATACAATCCCCGTTTCACGTTTCGTCAACTGCCTCTAGTTTTAGATTTCAATTTTTAGACGGTTCGGATGGCCACTTGTTGCAAAAACACGGGCGTGATTTAGCGTCTGTCTCCTCACCTGCAGCACGCAGAGGACTTCGGGAAGGCTGTTCTGCGTGGAGTCGACAGGTCCCAGCATGCAAAACAAGTGGTGGGCCGGCGCGTCCGACAGCATCTGTAGATCGTTGGGAGTGTTCTGCAACGTGGAACGTCGAAGACAAGTTGTGAAATAAACAACATGTAACGTTGAAGACAAGTTGTGAAATAAACAACATGGAATATCGCGTGAAGCGCTAGTACTGCGTAAACAAAAACCACAGCTGAAACATTAATGATGTTAAATGACGAAAATAACAATGTAAATAAACACAAAATATGAAATAAAACAGAATTAAAATATTAATATACACAATATAAAATTCAAACAATACAATGCGACGTAAAACGAACGAAATTACGTGAAAAAAATACGGAATTCCACGATTAAGCACATCGCAGAACGTTACGAGAAAACACTAATTCGCGCCACAGATGGCAGCACCGGCGCACAACCGGAGGGACTCACCTTGTAGTGGGACGAAACGTATATAGACATGAGTCGCTGGAGGAAGGCCTCGGAGGCGCTGTGGTAACTGAACAGCGTGTCGCGGCTAACGTAGTACGTGTGGCGGTGAAGTCAAGGAGGCAAGCAAAAACCACACGCGGAAATAACCCTCCACCTTAATTTGCGTGGCTCGCACGAAAACCAACTCGTATCCGTAGAAACACTAGTGGTTGCTTAGAAATAGCATGAACATTACATTGCTTAGTAGATTATGTACTGTAATGTGTGTGTGTGTGTGTGCGTGCGTGTGCGTGCGTGTGTGTGTGTGTGT